ATTGTCAAAGATTATTTGGTTGTATCCGTGTGGATTCCCATCTGTTGTTTCTATTCTGCTCCATTGGTCCTCCTCTCTATCTCTGTGCCAATACCAAGCTGTTTTGATGACCACCGCTCTGTAGTATGTCCAGAGGTCTGGAATTGTGATTCCCCCTGATAACTGCCTATTCTTCAGGATGTTTCTGGCTATTCGTGGTCTTTTGTGTTTCCAGATGAATCTTTGTATCATTTTTTCGAGTTCTATGAAGAATGTTTTGGGTACTTTGATTGGGATTGTGTTGAATGTGTATATTGCTTTTGGTAGTATGGACATTTTAAAGATATTGATTTTGCCTTCCAGGAACATGGGATGTTGCTTCATCTTTTTAGGTCCTCCTCAATTTCTTTCTTAAGCTTACTGTAGTTTTCTTCAAAGTGGTCTCCTACGTTTTTGGTGAGGTTAATTCCTAGGTATCTCATACTCTTCTGTGTTATTTTGAATGGTATTGTGTTGGTAAGATCTTTTTCCAATTTTGGGCTGTTTGCTTACACTATGGCTGTTGATTTTCGTTCATTTACTTTGTACCCTGCCACTCTACCCAACTCTTGAATAAGTTCTAGCAGTCTCTGTATTGAGTCTCTTGGTTCTTCTATGTAAAGGATCATGTCATCCGCGAATAGTGAAAGCTTGACTTCTTCATTTCACATTTGAATTCCTTTGATTTCTTTGTCTTGTCTTATGGCCTCAATGAGTACCTCTAGGACTATGTTGAATAGTAGTGGTGATAGCTGACATCCTTGTCTTGTTCCAGATCTCAGTGGGAAGGGATCCAGTTTTTCTCCATTCAGTATAATGCTGGCATTGGGTTTTTCGTATATTGCTTTGATTATGTTATGGATTGTTCCTTCTATGCCTACCCTGGCTAGGGTTTTTAGCATGAAGTGGTGCTGGATTTTGTCGAAAGCCTTTTCTGCATCTATTGATACTATTATATGATTTTTGTTCTTCAGTTTTTGAATGTGGTGAATTGCCTTTATGGATTTCCGAATGTTGAACCATCCCTGCATGCCAGGGATGAATCCTACTTGGTCCGAATGAATGATCTGTCTGATGTTTTCTTGGATTCTATTGGCTAAGATTTTGTTGAGAATCTTAGCATCAATGTTCATCAGGGAGATTGGTCTGTAGTTTTCCTTCTCTGTTAGTTCTCTATCAGGTTTGGGGATTGAGGTGATGTTGGCTTCATAGAATGAGTTTGGAAGGGATGCTTCCTTTTCTATTGTTTTGAAGAGCTTGTAGAGGATTGGGGTTAGCTGTGCTTGGAATGTTTTGTAGAATTCTGGAGTGAAACCGTCTGGGCCTGGACTTTTCTTTGTTGGGAGATCTTTGATTCGATCTCTGCCTCAGTTATGCGTTTATTCAGGTCTTCTGTTGCCTCAGGGCTAAGTTTTGGTAAGTGATGGGAATCCAAGAACCTTTCCATTTCCTGGTGGTCTTCTGATTTGTTGGAGTATGGTTGTTCACAGTAGTTTCTGATTATTTTCTTAATGGTTGCGGTGTCAGTTGTTATGTTGCCTTTTTCATCTTTGATGCTGTTAATTCTCGTTTTCGCTTGTTTTCTCTTTGTCAGTTGGGCCAGTGGGGTGTCTATTTTGTTTATCTTCTCAAAGAACCAGCTTTTTGATTCATTGATTTTGTGTATAGTTTTTTTGATTTCTATCTGGTTTATCTCCTTCCTTGTTTTGATGATTTCTTGTTTCCTTTTGTTTGAAGGTCCTTTTGTTGCTGTTTCTCTAATTTCTGGAGGTGGGTGTTTAATTCTTGTAATTGGCATCTTTCTTGGGCTATAGCTAGGGCCATGATAGGTTTAGGAGTTGTGCTAGAACTAGATGGTGTCTCCTGTGGGACAGACCCATCGACCTTAGTGGTGGATATGGAAGTTGGGGACTGTGGGGCATAATGTATAATTGGTTGATCTGGAACCCAAGTCAGTAAGTTCAAGTCATGTGGAAAAACAAATCATACGCTCCTCCAAAAGTTAAGGGGAGATTGGGTGCTTCCATTGGCCTGTAAGGGCATCTTTCCATTGTACTAGAGGTTTAGGGGGAGCTCCAGTATGAGAATAATGCTGAGAGAATGAGTTCTCATTGTGTTGATCCAAATAAGATGATTACGCACAAAGCATGATTTAAAATATGATGAGGTAACAAATGTTTGAATTCAACCTGTTGCTGTTTGGATACGAGGAGTTTTTTTGTTGTTAGACACAAACATATGAAAAAATGTTCCAGCTCCCTAGCAATAAGGGAAATCCAAATTAAAACATCGATGAGGTACCACCTAACACCAGCAAGATTGGCCCACATAAACAAGAACACCAACGACGCTTGCTGGCGAGGATGCGGGGAAAAGGGAACCCTACTCCACTGCTGGTGGAGCTGCAAATTGGTACAGCCTTTATGGAAATCAGTCTGGAGAACACTCAAACAACTCAAAATCTGCATACCATATGACCCAGCAATAGCACTCCTAGGAATATATCCAAAACACCTGTTTTACGACAAACCAACATGCATCCCTATGTTCATTGCAGCACAATCAGTAATTGCAAAAACATGGAAGCAACCGAAATGCCCATCAGCAGAAGATTGGATAAGAAAGCTTTGGTTCATCTACTCCATGGAATACTACTCAGCTATTAAAAAAAACAAAATGCAGTTCTTTGTGGCTAAATGGGCCCAACTGGAAACTATAATGCTAAGGGAAATGAGTGCTCAACTATGGCTTGTCCTGTGGGTGATAAGCAATCCCAGTAGCGCATGAAATGCTTAAATGTCTCTATAACAGCACAGAACTCTACTCTCTGGAGAGAATTTTCCTCTTCTTTAAAAGGACATTTTTTCAAAGTCTATTATTAGACAAGATATCCTGTTAGATGACCCATCTGTAAAGGTTAAAGAAGCAGGTTGGGGCACAGCGGTTAAAGAACAAATCTTTTGAATTAAGTTGTTTTGAATGCTAGCTGAAAATCTGTTTGGCTCCGATGTTCTCTCTACATAAGGAGTTGTTGACATGTTGAAGAAGTAACTGCAACATTGGGTTGTGGTGGCCTCAACAAGGTTCATTTCAATACAATGTGCTTTTTGGGCATTAGCCACAAAGTTTCAAAACTAGGTTTCCATGAGAACTGTTCTTGTGCATAATGATGGGCGAAGAGTGTCCCAAATGGAGTTGTTGTACCATAAATACTACGCTATGGTTTCATCTTGACTATGCCAACCACCAATACGCTGCATTCCCAATGTGTACTCTGCACATGCAGGAGCTTTTGTCAGAGCAATTGTATTGAATTCGAGCTGAAATTCATTACAGCACCGAAGTTCTCTCAGGATATGGAGTTGGTAGCGTGTCAATCGAGTATCTACAACATTCAGTTGTGTGCAATGCTGAAGAAATTTCATTTCAATTCAGTGCCATCTTTGGGCATTAGATGCAAAATGAAAAAAAAAATGGGCTTACCTCAAAACTGCTTATATGGTGCGTGAAGTTTGTGACTCAAATGGAGTTGTCTATCATAAGAACCACTCTGCTGACTGACCCTGAGTATGTAATTCACCACCAGGTTGCGTTCCACATGTGTAACATGCACATTGATTACTATGTGTTGCCAGAGCAGTCGCTTTGAATGCTAGCTGAAAATCGTTTGATGCCAAAGTTCTACCTTGATGTGGAGTTAATGACAAGCTCAGCATTTAGCTACAACATTCGGTTTTGTGAGGTGCTCAGTAACTTCATTTTCATGCAATGTGCTCTTTGGGATTTAAAGGAAAAGTGACAATGGTTTCCACGAGAACTGCTTGTGTGACTATGCCGTGTGAAATTCACAACCAAATGTAATTGTTCTACCATAACCATAACTCGGCTGATTCATCTTGACCACATCGTTCACCAAAAATGTGTGTTCTCCATGTATAATATGCACATTGAAGAAGCAGTATGCAGTGTCAGAACTCTTGCTTTGAATACTAGCTGAAAATTTCTTTGGCTCTGAATGTGAGCTGGCAGTGCATTAAGTAGCATCAATATTTGATTTTGAGGGATGCTCAACAAGCTTCATTGCAATACAATGAGTTCTATGGACACTGGATGCAAAGTGACTAAACTGTGTTTTCATGAGAGCTGTGTGAAGTTGGTGACCTCAATGGAGTTTTACTACCATTAAGAATGACTCTGTTGGGCCCGGCATGATGGCGCAGTGGTTAAGGTCCTCGCCTTGCATGCCCGGGATCCCATATGGGTGCCGGTTCTAATCCCGGTAGCCCCACTTCCCATCCAGCTCCCTGCCTGTGGCCTGGGAAAGCAGTCGAGGACGGCCCAAAGCCTTGGCACCCTGCACCCATGTGGGAGACTGGGAAGAGGCTCTTGGCTTCGGATTGGTTCAGCTCCAGCCATTGCGGCCACCTGGGGAGTGAATCATCGGACGGAAGATCTTCCTCTCTATCTCTCCTCTCTGTATATCCGCCTTTCCAATAAAAAAAAAAAAGAATGACTCTGTTGATTCGTCTTGACTGCCATTCACCAACATGCTGCATTCCCCATATGTAATATGCACATTCAGCAGTGTGTGGTGCCAGAAAAGTTGTTTTAAATTCTAGCTGTAAATCGCTTTAGTGCTGAATTTCTCTCTAGATGTAGAGTTGGTAGTGTGTCAAACGAGTACTTACATCATTCAGTTGTTTGCGATGCTCAAAAAACTTCATTTCAACATAGTGCACTTTATGGGCAGTCGACATTAAGTGACAAAACTGGGTTTCCATGAGTGCTGCTTGTATGCCTGATATTGTAGAATACAATATAATGTCAAATGTAGTGATATTATATGTGAATCTTACTCTGTTAATCAATGCTACTTCATACTTACTTGTACCTAATACAACAAGAACTTGTGATGTAATTCCTTAATTAACCATCCACAACAAGTGGATTGTTTATAACCACCTGAGATTGTCAGTGTCCACATATAACTGTTATTTGATCCATAAACAATGAAGGTCTGATCCTCACTGTGCCTACATTAGGGTCCCAGGATAAAGAATTAACCTACAACAAAAAGTTATTCTCCTGCATGGCTGGGAGATACTCCAGCAGAAGCATGATGGACTTGGGAAATTCACAATGGACACACATTATGAACTTAGCAGGCAGAACAGAGAGAAGGGGAGGGATTTGGAGGGAAGGGGGAGAACCCACCACCAACTAAATTGTTCAAAAAATAAATAAATAAAATTGCACTCTCACCAGTATGCAGTGCAAAAGCAGTTGTTTTGAATACTAGCTGAAAATCACTCAGTGTGGAGTTCAAAGTGTATTCTCTGAATAGATTCAAGTTTCTGATTTGTGGAATGCTCAACAAACCACATTTCAATATTGTGAGCTCTATGGGCATTAAATGCAAGGAGACAACAATGGGTTTCCTTGAGGGTAGCTTGTAAGCCGTATATTGTAGAAGTTAGTGTCTAACAAGGAATCATACCACGTAAACAACTTTGCTGTTTCTTCCTGACAATACCATGCAGCAAGTAGCTGAGTTCTCCTTGTGTAATATGCACATTCAGCAAGCAGTATGTGGTAACAGAGCAATCGATTTAAGTGCTAGCTGAAAATCAGTTTGGCACCAATGAACTCTGTCAATATTAAGTTGGTAGCTTGTTGAACATTTTTGTTTTGTTTTGTTTTGACGTGTTCAACAAGAAACATTTCAATACAGTGCATTCTATGGGCATTAGATGCAAAGTGACAAAATTGTTTTCCCCTAACAGCTTCTTGTAAGCCTAATGATTTGAAAAGTTAGTGACAGAACAGAACGGGGGGGGAGGGGGTGGCCAGAGTGGATCAGGGGGACAGGAGGAGGCTTGTATCCCAACCTTGGAGACTCCCAGATCCCCACCAAGGACTATCAGTACAGGCACCAAGGACAACATCCCAACTGCCAAAGAGACCACGGGGAAATGGAGTGCCTTCAGAGGCCGAGAACTCAGAGGACATCCCCCCCACCTTTGGACCTACCACATGGGATGGAAGAAGCCCAAATCTTTCCTCGCAGGATCCAGGGTTTCGGAACAACAGCCAGGAACCCTGAGCGGTCCTCAAAATCAGAAGAACAGTAAACTCCCTTCGGGACTAGGGAGAGGAGCTTTCTCTGGTCCTTACTTAGTTCCAACTTTGGGTCCCTACCCTCTCTGCAATGACCATCAGGGTCACTCCAGAGCACTCCCCAAACACACACACACACACACACACACACACACACACACACACAAACTCACAAATTAGAATAGATAGGCAGAGAACAACAAGGAAAGCTTGGTCAGCATGGACTCACACACACCTTACTAATAGGACACAAAGATTAAGTACTCCTCACTAAGGTATTGAAGAATTCTCTGCACACCCTTCCTAAAACTGTTTTGCACCTCAATTGTTAAAAGGTCTTGAAGGGCCCGGCGCAGTGGTGCAGTGGTTAAGGTCCTCACCTTGCACGCCCGCGATCCCATATTGGCGCCGGTTCTAATCCCGGCAGCCCTGCTTCCCTTCCAGCTCCCTGCCTGTGGCCTGGGAAAGCAGTCGAGGACGGCCCAAAGCTTTGGGACCCTGCACCTGCGTGGGAGACCCGGAAAAGTATCCTGACTTCGGATCCGCATAGCATCGGCCGTTGCACTCACTTGGGGAGTGAATCATCGGACGGAAGATCTTCCTCTCTCTTTCTCCTCTCTGTATATCCGCCTTTCCAATAAAAAAATAATAAAAATAAATCTTTAAAAATAAATAAATAAATAAATAAAAGGTCATTGAAGTAGTCACAGGAGGCTGTTAAGAACTTGCATTTAATTTTTTTATTGTATTTTTGACAATCTTTACATAGTTAATTGGGGTAAAACTTGCATTTAATTTTAACACATTGTTTACTCAATACTATGTCAATTAATTCCATAACGTTATATATTGTTGCTGATGCTAACTTGGGGCTTTTAATTGATCGGGATTTTACTCTGTTGGCTCTGTTGGCTCTACCTTCAGACCAAAGAAGGTCTCCCCAAGAAGCCGTTGAACTTATCGGGACAATAAGATGCTGGACTCTATGCTTGGTATATGCTTGCAATGAAGGAATCTCAACTGAACTTGAACTATGGTTACACAATAAGGGGAGGAATCCACCATGGGGGGAGGGTTAGGGGAGGGGTGGAGGGAATCCCAGTACCTATAAAACTGTGTCACATGATACGATATAATAAAAAAAAAATTAAAAAATGAAGAAAAAAGAAAAGTTAGTGCCAGAAATGGAATGATTCTGTGACAGTTAAACCTGTGCTGTTTCTTCATACGCCCACACACTGTATTCTGCAGTTGTCACATGCATATTCAGTAGCATGTGGTGCTGGAGCAGTTGTTTTCAAATCTAGCTTAAAATTGCTTGGGTGCTGAAGCTCTCTCTGAACAAGCAGTTCTTATTGTGTTGAAAGTGAGTCTACTTCTTGATTTCTGTGGGATGCTCAACATGATTCATTTCAATACAGTGCGCTGTGTGGCCATTAGATGAAAACCTACAAGACTATTTCAGGGATTGGTGCTTGTAAAGCTGATGATATGTGAAGTTAGTGAACCCAGTGCAGTAATTCTAACACTGGAACACCTGTGCTATTTCTTTAGGAAAACGCCATTCACCATTATACATAGTTTCCGAGTTTTCACATGCACATTCAGCAGTGTGTGGTGCTGGAGCAGCTGTTTGAAATGCGAATTCTTAGAGCATTCATTGAGAATCCACAACATTGGATTTTATGGGTTGCTTAACATGCTTCATTTCAACACAGTGTATACCGTGGGCATTAAATGAAAAGTGACAAAGCTGGGTTTCTAGGAGAACTGCTGGTAAGCTTAATGGGATGTGAAGTTAGTGACCCAAATAGAGTAGCTCTGCCAGCCGAACACCTGTGCGGCTCCTTCATCTATGCCATTCACCGACATATTGAGTTCCCTAGTTGGCACATGCACATTCAGAGGTTGTGATGCCTAAGGATTTGTTTACACTGCTAGCAGAAGTTCACTCTGGATGGACTTCTTAGAATATTGTCCAACAATAAGATGCTGGACTTTATGCTAGGTATATGCTTGCAGTGAAGGAATCTCAACTGAACTTGAACTGAGGTTATGCAGCAAGGTGGAGGAATCCACTATGGGGGGAGGGATGTGGGAGGGGTGGGGGGAATCCCCAGTGCCTATAAAACTGTATCACATAATACAATGTTAATAACAATAAAAAAATAAATCAATAAAAAAGAATATTGTCCAAGAATCTATAACTTTCCTCAGTTCAATGCAGTTCCCTCTATGGGAATTAGAAAAAAGTGACCATGTTTGATTTCCGGGAGAGTGGCCTGTAAGCTTGATGGTATGAGAAGTCAGTGAATGAGGACCGATTCTGCCAGCCGAACACCTGTGCTGTTTCTTCAGGATTATGCCCATCACCAACATACATGGTTTCCTAGCTGCCGTGTGCATATTCAACACTTTCTGGTGCCAGAGCAGTTGTTTTCAATGCTAGAGTGAAATAGCTTTGGCAAAGTTCTCTGTGATTTGGAGTGATTTGGAGTGAGAAGAGCAAGAATTTACAACTCTAGTTTTTCTGGAGTGCTCAACATATTTCATTTCACTACAGTGTTCTCTATGGGCATTAGATGAATGGTTCACTCGAAAGCCTGATGATTTGGGAGGGAATCAAGATGGTGGCAAAAGGTGCAGACATGTTTGAGATGACAGAGAATCATTAGGGTAAAGAACAGAGAGCAAATTACAGGAAAACATAAGGGTCAGGAAGTCAACAGGGAGTTACCTGGAGACACCCTGGATACAGAGAAGCAGCAACAGCAGAGCTGTGTTACAGGGAGCAGAAAACCATCAGCCACTGGTGAGCTGTGATCCGGACTCCAGCAACAACCAGGGATCCAGCAGCAGCCACAGATCAGCCCTTGCGACAGCCAGGTCGGGGCTTGGGTTCACCTGTGGAGCGTCAGAGGTGAAGACAGGCTGGGACTGGCCAATCCTGCTGAAGAGTTTGGCCCAGCAATGAAGGGAAAGGGAGCTGCGGACTCCAGGGGGCAGACGTGGTGGGTCAGAGCTGACAGCACAGGCATCAAACACCAGAGTGAGTGCGTTTGCAGCTAGTCACACCCAGCTGATCTCATGGTGAGGACAGCGCCAGCTTCGCATCCTGCAGGATCTATCTGCTCCCCGGATCGGAAAGCCAACAGCCCCGGCTCTCCAGCAGTGCTCCTCCAGGTGCCATCTTGTGTGTTTACACAAGATCAGTGCTGCTGATGAACCAGTTATCTGGGACAGTTGGCGTCTTCCTAATCCAGGACATTGATTGAACATAAGAACTGACTTGTAGACCTGTAGGTAATACATGTTAGAAATCTGCACTAAGGAGAAAAATACACCAAACAGGATTGCAATGTCAAAAGTTAAAAGAAGAGACAGAGGCACAATGAATGTTACTGAAGACTCCCGGTAGAGGAACAAAAGCCTCTACCACCCTTAGAGTGAACTGAGGAAGACACTGAAAAAACGAGGGACAAAGAATTCAGAAAACCTATTATAAAGCTTCTGACCAACAGCGAGAAGCACATAATATGAGAGTTCAAATAATTTAAAGAATTGGTTACACAGGAAATGAATCAAATGAAAGCTGACATTTCAGAAGTTAGGAATACAGTGGAACAAACTCAAAATACAATGAAAAAAGTCTAAAAAAATAGAATGAATGAAGCAGAAGAAAGAATCTCAGAATCGGAAGATATTTCCTGTCATCAGGGGGAAACAAACAAAAAGCTGGAAGAAAAGCTAGGCCAAGCTAAAAAAAAAAAAAACTATCCAGGAATTAAAACATATAATTCAAAGACCCAATAAGAATTATGAGAGTCCCAGAAGGTGCAGAAAGAGCAACTGGAATTAAAGATGTGTTCAATGAAATAATACATGAAAACTTCCCTAATCTAGAGAAAGAATTGGGAAATAACACACAGGAGGGGTACAGGACTCCCAATAGGGTTGATAAAAAGCGACCTTCACCAAGACACATGATAATCAAGCTCTCGTCAGTTGAACATAAGGACAAAATCCTTAAATGTACACATGAAAAAAATCAAGTGACCTATACAAGAGCCCCAATCAAACTCACAGGTGACCTCTCAGAGGAAATACTACAGACCAGGAGAGAATGGAGTGACATATCCCAGACTCTAAAAGGGGAAAATGTTCAGCCCAGAATAGCATGTCCTGCAAAGCTCTCCTTTGTCTTTGAAAATAAAATAAAATTCTTCCACAATAAAGAAGAACTCCAAGAATTCATGTCCTCCAAACCAGCTCTACAGCTAATACTCAAAGATGTTCTCATGAAAGAGAAAAGGAAGAGCAGCTACCAAACCCCAAGGCATATGTGGAGAACATCCCACTAAAAGGCCAACAGAAGACTCAACCAAAGAACACCACATTACCAAGATGACAGAACCGAACTGCCACCTATCCATATTAACATTGAGTGAAAATGGTTTAAATTAATCAAATGCCATAGATTAGAGGACTGGATCACAAAACAAAACCCACCGATCTGCCTCTTACAGGTGATACATCTCATTAACAAAGATCAGAGGAAACTGAAAGTGAAAGGATGGAAAAAGATATTCCAAGCGAATGGTAAGGAAAAATGTGCAGGGGTAGCCATTCTTATATCAGATGACATAGACTTTGATGTAAAGAGCATCAAAAGAGATGAAGAAGGATACCATATAATGATCAAAGGATCCATTCAGCAAGAAGAAATCACCATAATAAAAAAAAAAATATATATATATATATATATATACCAAATGCCAAGGCATCTAGCTAAGTGGGAAAAAAACAAAAAACATTAATGGACTTGAAGGGAGAGGGAGAGATAGACTCCAATACAATCATAGTGGGTGACCTTAATACTTTTAACATCAATGGACAGATAAAAACAGAAACTCAGCAAAGAAACAATAGAACTCACCCAAACTCTAGAGCAAATGGACTTAGTTGATATCTACCGAACCTATCATCCTGAAGACAGAGAATACACTTTTTTTCATCAGTTCATGGAAACTTCTCCAGAATTTACCATGTCTCAGCAAATTTTTAAAAATCAAAATTATACCATGCATCTTCTCAGACCATCATGCAGTAGAGTTAGAGACCAAGAAGTCAAAACACCCAAGAAGACTTGCAAACACATGGAGACTGAATAGTATGTTACTAAATGAGTAATGGATTAGAGAGGAAATCAACAGGGAAATTTAAAAAGTTGCTTGAAACAAATGAAGGCATCAACACAACATATCAAAACTTGTGGGGCGCAATCAAGGAAGTGTTAAGAAGAAAGTTCATCTCAATCAATGCTTCTAGTAAGAAATTAGAAAGACATCAAGTAAATCAGCTAACCTTACATTTGAAGGAACTAGAAAAGCAACAGCAAAGCAAATCCAAGATTAGTAGGAAAAAAGAAATCATCAATATAAGGGAGGAAATAAAGACAAACCAAGAGAACTGTACATAACATCAATGAATCAGAAAGCTGGTTCTTTGAGAAAATCAACAAAATAGAATCCCCACTAGCCCAACTAAACAAAAAATTTAAAAAAAGGAGGGAGAAGATATGCATCAATAACATCACAGACGAGAACGGAACCAACAAATACCTCAGACATACAGAAAATTATTAGGAACTATTACAAGCAACTATATGCAAACAAATCAGAAGGCCTAGAAGAGATGGATGTATTTTTGGACACATACAATCCACCAAAATTGAATCAAGAGGCAATTAACAATCTAAATAGACCAATAACAAGCAATGAGTTTGAATCAGTAACTAAAGCCCTCCCAACCAAGAAAAGGCCTGGACAAGATGGCTTCATTGCTGAATTCTATCCAACGTTTCAAGAACTTACCCCAATCCTACACAAGATTTTCCAAGCAACAGAGAGGCAATTCTTTCAAACTGTTTCTATGAAGCCAGCATCACCTTAATACTAATGCCAGCTAGAGAAACAACAGAAAGAGAGAACTACAGATTGATATCCTTGATGAACACAGACACAAAGATCCTCAACAAAATACTAGCTAACAGGATCCAACAGCGCATCAGGCAGATCATTCACCCAAACCAGGTGAGATTCATCTGCAAATCAATAAATGTGATACATCACATTAATAAAATGAAAAATAAAAACCATATGATCATCAATAGATGCAGAGAAAGCATTTGATAAAGTCCAACGCGACTTCATGCTGAAAACCCTAAGCAAGATAGGAATAGAAGGAACATTCTACAACACAATCAAAGCAATTTACGAAAAACCCAATGCCAGCATCATACTAAATGGAGAAAGACTGGAAGCCTTTCCACTGAAATCTGGAACCAGACAGTGATGTCCACTGTCACTACTACTCTTCAATATAGTATTGGAGACCTTGCAAGAGCTATTAGGCAAGAAAAAAGGAATTAAAGGAATACAAACTGGAAGTGAGGAATTGAAATTATCTCTATTTGCAGATGACATGATTCTCTACATAGAAAAATCAAAAAAAATCAGTCAAGACACGACTAAAACTCATAAGAGACTTTGGCACGGTAGCAGGATACAAAATTAATGAACACAAATTGATGGCACTAGTGCACACAAATAATTCCATGAGCTATCAAGAAATTGTAAGTACAGTCTCTTTTAAAATAGTGGAGTTGAATCTTAAATACCAAGGAATTAAGCTAACTAAATATGTGGAAGACCTCTATGATGAAAACTATACAACATTTTTAAAGGAAATAGAAGAAGATATTTAAAAACAGAGACACCATGTTTCTGGATTGGCAGGCTCAACATCATTAAAATATCCATATTACCAAAAGTAATACACAGGTTCAATACAATCTCAATCAAAATGCCAACAACATTCTTCTCAGAAATAGAAAAGATGATACAAAAGTTCAGCTGGAAATACAAGAGACCATGAATAGCTAAAGCTATCCAAAAAAATAGAAATCAAACTGGAGGAATCACACTTCCAGACCTCAAGACATACTACAGAGCAGTAGTCATCAAAACAGTCTGGTACTGGTACAGAAACAGAGAAGATCAGTGGAGCAGAACAGAAACACCAGAAGGGAGCCCACACATGTATACTCACCTAATCTTTGACAAGAAAACTGAAAACAATCCAGGTAAAAATCCTGGTCTCTTCAACAAATCCTGTTGGGACAAGTGGATAGCAGCTTGCAGAATAAAGAAGCAAGACCTGCACCTGTCACAGAATACAAAAAAAAAAAAAAAATCAGCTCTAAATGGCTCAAGGGTCTGAATCTACACCCAGAAACCATCAAACTATTAAAGAAAAACATAGGAAGCACTCTCCAAGAAATGGGAATGGGGAAATCTTAGAAAATATGCCAAAAGCATGGGCAGTCAAAGATAAAATAAAGAAATGGGGCTATATCAAACTAAAAAGCTTCTGTACAGCTAAGGAAATAATTAACAAAGTGAAGAAGCAACCAACAGACTGGGAGAAAGCTTTTGCACTGTACACAAGTGACAGGGGACTAACATCCAGGTTTTACAAAGAGCTTCAAAAACCTAGGGAAAGTTTTAAAAAAAAAAAACCTTGGGAAAAATGAGAAATGGGCAACAGAAATGAACAGACGTTTTTCAAAAGAACAGGTTCAAATGGCTAACAGACATATGAAAAGATGCTCAGGCTCCCTAGTTATCAGAGAGATACAAATGAAAAACAACATTGAGGTGACACCTAATTTCAGTCACATTGGCCTACTTTCAGAGCTGAACTAACAACACCTGCTGGCGTGGGTGTGGGGAGAAAGGTACCCTCCTTCACTGCATGTGGGAGTGTAGGCTAGTAAAAATAATATGGAAATCAGTATGGAGAGTGCTTAGAGAATTGCAAATAAACCTGCCATACAATCCAACTATCCTGCTCCTAGGAGTATACCCAAAAGAAATTAAAACTACATGCAAGAAGGGGATCTGTAATCCTTTATTTACAGCAGCACAATAGCAAAGACATGGAAACAACCCAGATGCTCATCCAAAGAAAGTGGCTAAAAAGCTGTGGTACGTCTACTCCATGGAATATTATTCAGCCATTGAAAAGAATGAAAGTATACAATTTGCAACTAGATGGTCCCAACTACAGACCACGATACTCAATGAAATACATCAGTCACAAAAAGAGAAATACCATATGTTTTAGCTAATACAAGGAATCCATCATGCAAATTGGAATGTATAGCGACGGAGCAATACAGACTACCTTATCCAGAAGTGAAGACACAATGCAACATGCATCTCTGCTTCCAAACAAAAGATGGACTCCCAACGAAAGTGTTGGAGATACCTAGACAATGGGATGATGGACTGTCTGACACTGTACCAGTATTGTCGGGGCACACTTACATAGCACACTGATGGACTTGTGACTCCTTTTGAAGAGTGAAGACATCATGGGAAAAAATCAATCAGGGGGTGGAATCCCATACTATACAGAGTTGTATGATAAATTTCAAAAATAAAAATTTTAAGAAGAAAACAATTCTTCTGGAACCACACACTGCTGAACGTGCAGGGGACACCTTGGGAAATCAGTGTGTTGGTGAATGGCACAGTTCCGATGCAGCAGCATGGGAGCTCCAGTGGCACAACCTCTCCATTTTGGTCTCTAATTTCACATAGCACCAGGCTTACTAGCAGCACTTCCGGAAACCAGGATTTGTCACTTCTTGTCTAAAGGCATTGGAGAGCCCGCTATTTAAATGAAGCATGCTGAGCACCCACAAAAACACCGATGTAGATCCTCACTCCAGGCGCTAACAACTCCACATCCAGACAGAATTTCAGCACCCAAGCCATGGTCAGCCACCATGGAAGACAACTGCTCTGGCAGCACATACTATTAAGTCTGATAATGCTCCAGTTTATCATAGTAGTTCTTTTCAACAGTTTTTACATTGTTTTAACATCAAACATGTTACTGGTATTCCTTACAATTCTCAAGGACAAGCCATAGTAGAACAGTCACATCACACATGAAAAACTATGTTGTTCAAACTAAAAGGAAGAGACAGGAAAGCAAGTATGATTCTTTTTTTTTTTTTTTAGATTTATTTATTTTTACAAGAAAGGCGGGTATACAGAGAGGAGGAGAGACAGAGAGGAAGATCTTCCATCTGATGGTTCACTCCCCAAGCAGCTGCAATGGCTGAAGCTGAACCAATCCGAAGCCAGGAGCCAGGAGCTTCTTCTGGGTCTCCAAAGTCAGTGCAGGGTCCCAACTCTTTGGGCCGTCCTCGACTGCTTTCCCAGACCACAGGCAGGGAGCCGGATGCGAAGTGGAGTTGCCGGGATTAGAACTGGTGCCCATATGGGATCCTGGTGCATGCAAGGCAAGGACTTTAACCGCTACGCTATCATGCCAGGCCCAGGATGATTCTAAATAAGGCTCTATTCACTCCAAATTTTTAAAATAAAAATTCAGAAAACCTTTCCCCTGCAGGCATCCACTTCAATCTTGAAACTAAATAGCCTCAAACAGATGCACAACCTATTTGGTATCCTACTGGAGATCGCCAGTGGAAAGGAAATGTCAAGGTTTGGGGCCTAGGCTATGCTCTTATCTTTTCACATTCTCAGGAGCAGTGGTTACCAGTTCAGTGACTGCAACATCAACATGAGCAAGAGCAAAAGGCACACACTCAGATTCCAAAAGAGCACTTAGATCAGTGCCATACCAATACCCAGCAACCCACTGGGAAACCCAGCAGCAGAGAATACAGATTCCGGGGCAAACAAAGCCACCCGACCCACCACTGTCACTTGCCCTTTCTTGGCTAGAGAAGGTGCAGTGCCCCACAGAGCACAGAGAACCATGCTGCTGTCTGCACGCCAAGTGGCGGTGGCTGGACCATACGCACGCTGGGCAACTGCACAGCAAGCAGAGGCTGTGGAGGCACCAAGCAACAAGGGGCGGACACGAGAACCTGTGCAAAGGCCTGCGCCCGCCTAAGGCTGGGAAATGCAACCACTGAGGAGGAAAAAAACCACTAGTCGCCCACAAGCTGGCAGCAGCTGACAAACACCCTGGTAACCAGGAAGACTGAAGGGCCCCAACAACCCACAGAACAGACAGACGCAGTGGTCCCAGAAACCCCCAAAAGCACATCGGAGGCAAAAACTTCAAAATCACAAGAAATAACAACACAATGGAGACAAGTATCAGAAAAAGCAATTATTCAGAGGAAAGTGCCAGTATTCACCCCAAAAATGACCAAAAAAAAACCCACACCTCAGTCTGAGAGTTGCAAGGCAAAGACACCGAGGAGCTACCAGATAAGGAATATAAAAAAACAATCATAAAACTCTTCAGAGAGAACAAGAAGTCCTGGGAAGAGCTCAAGAAATTCAAAAATAACGTTATCTCAGAAATTAAGCAGGTCCAACATGAAATTTCACAATTTCAAAAACATGGTAGCGAACTTGACCAACAGAATAAATGCTGCAGAGGAAAGAATTTCAGACATGGAAGATACCCAAATTGAGAGCACACAACAAATAAAATATCTGGAAGAAAATCTGATCAAAACCAAGAAATCTATACAACAAATAAACTATACCATCAGAAAGTCAAGTATCAGATTTATAGGAATTCCGGAAGGTGTGGAGAGAGAGACAGGATTACAGGAGGTGTTCAACAAAAGTATAAAGGAAAACTTCCCAAACTC